GTCTTCAGTAATTATTCAGTTTACTTACCTCATGTTCCACTCCTTGTCCCTGTGCCATGACTGAAAAAAAGGTTTTCCAATCCCAATTGTCGACTTAAAAATAGTCTGGAACGTACCAAAGCCATGAAGGGACAATCCGAGATAACGGATTGTCTAATTAGAGGGAACGAATTAATAATCTGAGAAAACGAATAACTAATTCGTGGGAACGATTTAAATTTCGTGGGAACGAATTGTTTAAACCGAGAGAACGAATTACAATCCGAGATAACGGATTGTGTAATTTGAGGGAACGAATTGATAATCTGAGAGAACGAATAATTAAACCGTGGGAACGAATTGTTTAAACCGAGAGAACGAATTACAATCCGAGAGAACGCATTGTGTAATTTGAGGGAACGAATTGATAATCTGAGAGAACGAATAATTAAACCGTGGGAACGAATCGTTTAAACCGAGAGAACGAATTACAATCCGAGATAACGGATTGTGTAATTTGAGGGAACGAATTGATAATCTGTGAGAACGAATTAGTAATTCGTTATAACAGATTGTCAATCCGAGAGAACGGATTATATAAATCGAGATCTCGGTTTACTTTTACACTTTTTTGAAAATCCTCATGTCCCTTCATGGCTTTCGTAATTATCCGACATCTGTCTGTATGTCGTCTTTTATCTGCGTCTGTTGACTGGTTTCATATTTGAACTTCTCCAGTAGACTTATACAGCTTGGCTTTTTGAAATCATATTTGGCACAATAAATACATGTACTTTAGAGACAGGAATGCAAATAAAGAGTCATATGTATCTCATTACAAGGACGAGTTCCTTATCAATTAAATAATAAAATAATAAAAAGTATTATTTCCTATGTAGCTTGTAACAAGAGCTTTGATTGGATACAAAGTCGGGTGTAAATTTCCGTACAACCGACTTGAGCCGGGGGTAAAAAAAAACGTGACGTCACAATGCATATTTTCTCTATGATAAAAAGCAATATATGGAATAAAACCCTGGGTAAATCCCCGTACACCCTTATTGGACCTGGATAACATAGTACATGATTATTTACGAATCTTCCCAAGAACCACTGAAGCTAAAAACATAAATATTCCTTATTTTGTTTTTACACACATTTAGTCATGTGGATTCAAATTCGTTCAAATCATTGCCCTTGAGGTCACGATGCAATCAAAATACTCCCACAGTAGTGAATCTTCAATACGTTCCTATAAATTTTAAATGAAATACGTTACAATATTGAATTCATAGTGAGTAAATGAGAATCATTGGTGAGACGTATTCAATATAATTATCGTACTAAAATTTGAAATGGCTGATATATTTCAAGTCACCTGAGTCACTCTTGTAACTTATGCTGTTTCTGTCCTTTGCCGTGCGTCATCAGATGTTTGAATGGCTGAACTAATGTCAGCCAGCTTTTGTATGTAGAATTGATGGATTAAGGGGTACAAAAATAATATTAATAACTTCATATTTTCAGCCTTTTCTTAAAAGAATTACTATAATCAACTATAGCTTACTATAGTTAACTATGATGAAAACTTCGATCCTTTGATTTACTATGAAACTTTACTCTGGAACTTTTTTTGGGGGGATTTCAAAGCTTAAAATCTCTTAAATTTGATAACTGTTATGTAAAATTTGGGGAAAAAAATATGTGAATACACAATCAATACTTTCATTTAAAATAAAAAAAATCTGCATGCATGAATTGAAGAACCAAAAATATAACAATCTGAAATCCATAATAAAATACTTAGGTTTACTATAGAAAAAATGATACTATAATAAACTGTAGTTAACTGTAGTTATTTTTTGTTAGGGTTGTTGAGGCCTGGGGATTGTAGTTAAAACCATAAAAACGCAATCTTCGAAATAAAATCTTGATTCCTGGACATCAAGTTGTCAAACTTTTGGCATGATTATAAAAAGCAATGAACCCTCTTCCAAAGGTGTGAAATTTACAGTCCCTGGGTTCAGAATTCAGGCTGCAATGTTGGGTTAGGTTAGCCATATACTTATAATTTATAATGTCTTATAAACTTTCTTTATCTTAGCTCTTTTCTCTTAGCTATGTAACATATAAAATGTTTCCATGCACAAGTATAACAAGCACGCAACCTTTTATCAAAATTGTGAAAATCATACCCTATGCTTCCGTTTTTCAGGTAATAGGGTGATGTTAAAATCGTGGGTCATATATATTTAAAAAAAACATTATATCTTTGAAAATCGTCTTTACCCATCAACCTCTTTCAGGAAGACTGTTCCCATTAAAAATACCCCTCTACCAAAATTGCGAAAAGCTTGGTCCATTGGTGAGAATAAATTGATGATATATAAAAAAAATCATTACCTCTGCGAAAATCTTAATTCCTCTTGACTTATTGGCACTAGCGGTCAAAGTGTTAAAGTGGTTACATGAGTATAATTACACTAGGTCCTCTACTAAAAATATGAAATTTATGGCAACCTTATTAAGGACTAAGGGTGGGGCTAGTTGTTCATTTATTGAAAATAATAGTAACTTAAAACTTAAAAAATCTTTAACTTCAATAATGGACATATATCCCACAAGAAAATATCAGTGTAAGAAAAAAACTTGATTCATGAGGCTTGGTTTAGACAATATCTCATCAAAGGACTAGAAGTTTTTATCTTTTTTTTCCTTTTAAATGTATACATAAAGGCAACGTCTATGAATGTGTTGATGTTATTAAAAGTTTACAATCCTGACCTTAAGTTTATTTATTAACGCAATTTTCTTAATTGATAGAAAAAAACAAGGTATATACGTCTTCAGCAGAATCTATTGCTGAAACAAATTACGTTATTTACTACTACTAGTATACGAGGGTTGTCCCAAAATACAATATTTCAGTGTCTGGTGTAGGAAGGCGGCGCAGTACATGTACCCATAAATTGCAATTAAAAATCGATATATGATATTTAAAATTTTACGAAAAGGTATTTAATACATAGAATTTTGAAAATAGAAATAAAAATTATTGATATTCCATTGATAACTACCCCTCCTCCAATTTTGTGGCATATGACTTGTTTACCCCGGTAATATGAATTTTATAACGTTTTATATGCACTGGTTTGAAATCTGACTTGTCGAAAAATGGCGGTTGCGATGAAAACGGCGGCGCACTTGACTGTGATCAAATGCTCTAACTTGGATTCACTCCTACAGAAACGCAGAAGTAATAAATGTCTGGTACCTAATGAAATGTATTCCGGTCCTTATTATAAGTATTATAAGTATGTGAAAAAGCGAAACTAAATAAGAAACAAGCCGAAGAGATGGGTAAGAAATTTTTGTCAAAGTGACATTTTTGCAACTCCATTTGCAAAGACAGAGAGGAAAAACCCTCAGAGACGTAGGGCTTTTAAAACCATTATTACTGGATACATATGCATGTACATACTTCGTTTGTGTTTTCTAATCTTAATTTATATCATAGCAATTAAGATATTTGTCATTTATTTCTATAATCATAATGTTGAAGTAAAGAATTTGTTTATTGTAAGAAGTGTATCCACCCCAATCAAAATTGGTGACGTTAAGTGTATCTTTCTTGACGTCAGAGACTGCTCCGGGTGTTAAGGAATGGAAATACTAAAATTGTAATTACTCGAATTGTTTTCAAACAATCATGTTCGTAATTTAACCAATAACATACTTCATCCACCAAGAAAATGTTACAACGATACGTTCATTCTTGTAAAAAATATGGGATCAGTTTACGGAATTTTGGGACAACCCTCATATATATATATATATATATATATATATATATATATATATATATATATATATATATATATATATATATATATATATATATATATATATATATATATATATATATATATATATATATATATATATATATATTGCATTTTGGTTTTTCATTAATTTATTGCTTTTAGATATATGATATAAACAAAATCACTCTGTTTTGATCTTGCCCCTCGTATCAGATCTCGGATGGTATCGGCCCGCGCCCTCAGACCTCCAGGCTCGGGCCGATACCAACCGCTCAGGCTGATACCAGGTCCGAGATCAAACAATAGTGCGGTTTTCTATACGTGTCGAAAGCTGTGATTTGTTATGCTTTATTAATGGTGAAATTAATTTTTAAGATGTGAAGAATTGCAAGTTTCAAATTTTCCCGAGGAAATGAATACCATTTCCCATTTATATATATATATATATATATATATATATATATATATATATATATATATATATATATATATATATATATATATATATATATATATATATATATATTTGCATTTGCAAATGTCTTCCATTATATGACTATCCATTGGCTTTCAGTTTTGGCGGACTTGAAGTAGGTCACAAGATCAGACTTTCTTGATATGTATGGAAAGCATCTGGAAGGTTTGAGACTGTTGCATTTCCATAACGGAGTCTAAATGGTGCAATTTTTCTTCGTAAAATATATAATTTTCTTTTAAAAAAAAACAAAAAAACCCCATTTTTTTAGGTTTTCATTTGGATATGACATGAAGTTGGTACGTGCTCAAATCTAATAATGTCTTTGGGCTAACTTTGGTCTTAAATATTAAATGATGCAAAATTTATCTTTAAAAATTGTAAACTTAAAACTGTCTATGATGTTTAATATTCTATCTTTCTGAAATCACCCATATAAATTTAACAAATGTTTATTACTTTTTTTATTGCTATATAGGACATAATTGAGAAACTTTGAATGAAAAGTTTAAATCTATTTAGTAAAACTTATTCATTATACTTATAGAAGAATGATTTTAGTTGATTTTTGAAAAAAAAAATTACATCATCGATCCTGAACACCAATTCAATATGCTGCACTATAGCTTGTTTAGAATTTACTTCCTATTTCTATTATCTTTAAAAAAAACTTTTGAGCATCTTCCTTATTGGACGCAACAACAAAATCTTATCAATCTAATATGCAACCACTAAAAAGGTAATCATAGTAAATTTAAGTAACAATAATTTATAAATCAAAGTATATATTTTTAGAATTTTAAAATAAAAGATTGTTTTAAAGATTTTTTTAAGATTAAAAAGCGAAAGAAATTTCAAATTTCAAATTGAACCAACCAGGTATAGTTTAATTAAGTAGCAAAAAATTGATAATTAAAGAATCCCTTTTTTTTTTTTAAAAAAGAATTTTAGAATAAAAAATTGTTTAAAAGATAAAAGATTAAAAGAAAGGGATTTCAAATTTAATATCATTTAATCATTTTTGGTTTCCCGAAGTATGTTCTTGTGATAGTTAGACAAAATTAATTATACATATTAGAAGTCACAAATAAAGGTGAAAGTTGCCTTGCCTTGCTTTAATGGAAATTGCAGATAGATGGTAGACTACCCACCCATTTTTATGTAGTATGGAAAAGCAAGTAGCAAACAAATTAGATGTGACGGAGTCTTGACTGAGTACGTGGGACCTTCAAAATTCCAAATGTCTCTTGCGGCTTGATTAATAGTGAATCTAAGTTAAAAGTGTATAACAAAGTGTATAAAAAGGTGTTTGATGATAACAAATACATGTACACAAGTTCGCTCCCCCAACGGTGGCACTGTCAAACATATTTTCATCTGTTTTCATCTGTATCGTGAGAAAGTCTAGGATTTTTTTCTTAACTTTTGTTTGTTTGCAAATTGTCACTCTGTTTTATCTGTGGGATAAATTATCTGATATTAATCATGACGTCATAAACATACGAACTTTGAAATTACAGTTCATATGTTCTCTTTATATTGAGTGCCAATGTGTTCATTATATATATACATTGTGTTCATGATAACGTGTTATTTACACACCACTATCGACAGTATCTGCATTGTATTTTGTCAGAATTAAAATTTTATCTGTAGATTACAAAAAAATTACATAACAACTCCTGTAAAAGTAGTGATTACACATTTTATCATGTTTACAACTCCTTTATCCAATGAGTACCACTCAATGGATAGATGTTTCATATCTTAACTTGATGTCATGTATTTATATATACTAGTATCCGCCTTTGTAATGATAAAAATTCCAATACAATTTCCAAAAACACTTTTATCTTTTTGAAGCCTACTTTCTTTTTCTGTAATCTTGAAAAAAGTCTAGAGATATCTTCCTTCTTCCCCGTCTCACGCGATACCAAGCAAAGTCATTTCAATCCACAATGCAGCCACCAGACAGGTAAAGTTTTAATATGGTGTGAAAATATATTCTAATAGTATTTTTGAAAGACATTCTCAATCTTAAAAACTGCGTTGAAAAAAAAATACTTAGAGCATCTTTCATGGAATTTGTAATTTTAGAGAACGTCATTTTAAAAGATTAAGGAATTTAGCTGAACTTCGTTTGATAATTTTTGGTGTTTGTCCGTTTTATTTTCTTTTTCCAATTGAAGCTAATTTTGTAAAGTCAGTAATTAGAGATTGTTTAATAAAACGGGAGAGAGTCCAGATTTATCCTAATGATGATTGATATTCTAAAGATTGTTTTAAAAGTTTGTTCCACAATATATTATTTCTGAAAACAAATCAAGATAGGGTTTAACTGTAGAGATAATTTTTTTTCAGTCTGACAGAATTACTAGAATGTGCTTTCGTTTTATAGCAATAAATTGTGAGCAGAAAATTATAGAAAGTTCGTTTCCAAATAAAATTATAAACATATCAAATAACAAATGACAGATTTACTAGCCATTTTGGTGAAAATATAGGATTGGTTACTTTTGTTCCTTTAAAGCTCATCTTGCATCACACAAAAGTGATATGTAAAAATGAAGCACATTCACTCTTTTTTAGCCGATCTGTTTTTATATTCGTATGAAGCAGAATTTATCAAAACACTTTTCATGAGAAGAAGAAAACACTTGCCATGGCCTTCAACTCGACATTCAGTTATATTAATTAACACTTATAGTTATCTCCATTTATATGTCGACTCCATTTATCCTAATGAACTTGAAATATAAGACAATGCATAGTCTTCCACATCTGCTTTATATTTGGATGTTTTACTGACTACAGACGACAAAGGCCGACAAACAACCAATTTGTGACTTCAGCGTTTTCATTATCAACTTTCTTTATTCATGTAGTAGTATTCCGCTATCACCTGCATATGGTGTTTATGTCTACCGACTTATTCGCTACTGAAAAGCATGATCTAAGTACGATCAATTTTTAAACCGAGACATGCTACTCACACATAACCCTAACCCATCTGTCAATTAAAATGAATTACAATTAGTTACATGTGACATACATTTCGATACTCCTGTTACATTAATGTTTTGCTTGTTTGTGTATTTACATTTATTAAATTTAATTATTTTAGGAACAAATTTTTGATTTTAATGACAATACATGTATATATTCGTTGAATTGTACATGCCTATATCTGAAATGGTTTATGATAAGATATGATTTTTATATCTGAAGTGATGTGTTTCCTATCTTCACGTAATTGGAGAAGAGGTAGAAAAACAAAACTGGTTGGTTTTATCAGTGTGGTCGATAATAAAATCCATCCGATAAACACATTGGAGGTAATATTATCATTTAACAAATGTTAATTAAATCTGTTTGCCGTTGTGTGAAAAATGAAGATCTATCCAAAAATGGGGTAGTTTCTACTGGCAAGAGGGACAAACGTGTGTAAAGATGTACATGACATTATCACTTCGTAAATAAAATGTTCATTTTGTTGACGTCATTAAAGGTTTAGTTATGCCCAATTAAAACTCCGATTCGAAAAAAAAAAGAAAGAAGAACAAATGCTGTAAAGAGTCACTTTAAAAATACTGTATGTTAACCCCTCGTAAACCATTCTCAAGCTCGGCCAGTGTCTCGTTTGACACGCATGTAAAGTCTTGATGTTACCCTAAACGACATGCAATATTTATTATATCATACTGCATGTTTAAAACAAATAGATGTACATATAATAATGAACCCTGCGCGCATACATGTAAACTCAACATTTTAGAATGTCTCCCGTCGTCAAGCACTGTTGCTATGTTCTATTGTTCCATCACGGTTTTGGGAATAAATTTATTGATTGGATCAAAATTTTAAATACAAATTAATTTTAAAGCATCTGTTCTACAATGTGGACATTTATCTGAACAAATCCATATTCAGAGAGGCTATAGACAGGGAGATCCCGTTGCACCTTATTTATTTCTCCTCTGTGCTGAAATTCTTGCTATTCTTGTGAAACAAAATAAAGACATAAAGGGCATTATTATTCAGGAGAAAGAACACAAAATTTCCCAATATGCTGATGACACTTCGCTTGTCTCGATGGTTCACCAAAATCACTTTTTGCTGCTCTTGATACCTTGGATTTTTTTCACGGTTGTCTGGGTTAAAAATAAATAGTAATAAAACAAAAATTATTTGGATTGGCTCGAAGAAAAATTTCAAATTAAGTTTTTCACCATCCAAGATGGAAGTTAGATTAGGGGTCAACAACTTTCTCATTGCTGGGTATTAATTTTTCTGTAGACTTAGAAACTATTACTGACACAAATTATAATATTATTCTACCCAAAATAAAATCTTTGATTCAACAGTGGAATCGACGAATACTAACACCTATTGGTCGAGTCACTGTTGTAAAAACTTTAATTTTACCAAAACAGAATCATTTATTTATTTCTCTTCCTACACCTAGCAGCGACAAAATTTCCTCATTAAATAAAGATATCTTTGAATTTGTATGGAAATCAAAATGTGATAAGGTTAAGAGAAATATAGTTACTCAAGATAATCTATATGGAGGTTTAAAAATGGTAAATATTTTTAACTTCATAAAATCTCTAAAATGCACTTGGGTCCAAAGACTGTTGAATACAGGAAATAAACCATGGTTAGATATGTTTTTGGCAGTTAATGGAAATGATGTTATAAAACAATTTTTAGGCTTTGGAGACGAGTATATCTCTAATGTTTTAATGACAAAGAACAATCGTTTTTGGCTTGATGTTTTTAGTTCTTGGCAAAATGTAATGAAAAAGATGGAACATGACAAGGATATGAAATATAAAGCTTGTAATATTCCAATATGGTACAACTCAAACATAAAGATTGATAGTAAGAGTATTTTAATAAAAAATTGGTATCTTAAAGGTGTTAAAACTGTTGGGGACTTCCTGTCTGATGATTGTTTTTTTCTTTCAAAGTCTGCTTTTCAACAAAAATTTAATATTCCTACTTTAAATGTAATGCAGTTCAATAGTGTCATTTGTGCTATTGCAAAATGCTTTAAAAATCTGGCAATTGAGAGAACATCAATGAAGAAAAGTTGTTTGCCTTATTTACCATTTTATTATGAAAATATTATGTTAAATAATAAATGTACAAAAATTATTTATAATGTCATAAACAAAAATTGTATGCAACTTACAGCAATTTCAAAGTGGAATGTAGAGTTGACTCCCCATGGAGTGAATGATATATGCACACAAGATGTTTTTCGAGTATGTTTCAAGACTACAAATGATTCTTCTGTACAGTGGTTTCAATACCGACTTCTTCATAGAATTCTTCCTGTTGGATATTATCTTAAAAAAGTTAACATTAAAACATCTGATTCATGCAACTTTTGTAAGGAGGATATTGAAACTATCCAACATGTATTTGTAACTTGTAATGATAATAGTGGATTTATGGAGAAATTTGAGTATGCATATCTGTAGAACAACTTCTAAAAGAATTGGTTTTAATATTAAAAATATTATTTTAGGTGAAATACCACTCACTAAAGATAACATGATTATAAACTTTATCATATTATACACTAAGCAGTATATTTTTTCTTGCTTATCACAATGTAAAAAACCAAACTTTTTTGGCCTTGTAAATCATTAGAAAAAATGAAATATAACATTGAGACGAGAGAAGTGTATCAATCTATAACTCTAAATTATCATTGTTTGAAAAGAAATG